CGTACCTTAGACTACGTGCCTAGCTGGGACAAAGTCATCTCGAAGATTTTTAATATCATGGATGAATATTTGGCGGATTTGAACCCTGGAGATGAGGACCAACACTCTGGCCATATTTCAGAATGAGACTTTTCCTGAAGCCAGGCTTGCTTAGACATTAAATACACCTGTAAGGACCTTTCAATAAGGACACTTGTAATAACAACATGGGCCTTTTTTAAGTAGCAAAAACATACAGAAAATAAATGAAATATACCACAATTATCGTTTAAAGTCATCAAGGTTCAATTAAAATGTACCTCAGACTAAGTGACTAGCTGGGACGAATACTTTTTTACTTTGGGATCTCGAAGATTTTTAATATCATGGATGAATATTTGAACCCTGGAGATGAGGACCAACACTCTGGCGATATTTCAGAATGACACTTTTCCTTAAGCCAGGCTTGCTTAGACAAATGAAATATTAAATACACCGTGTTTTTCTCTGTAAGGACCTTTCCACAAAGACACTTCTGGGCCTTTTTTAAGTGGCAAAAACATACAGAAAATAAATGAAATACACCACAATTATCATTTTAAAGTCATCCATCTTGTGGCGTCCAAACCCCCCCACCTGTTAGAGACTTATCATCACGCTGTGCACTCTGAATATTCCTAATAACCGCTGCTTTGTGTTTCAGGTAATGTTCACAGGAGAGAATGTACCTGTCCACCCTCATGTGTATAGCAACGGTCACATCTGTCTATCTATTCTAACGGAGGATTGGTCGCCAGCTCTCTCAGTGCAATCGGTCTGTCTTAGCATTATCAGCATGTTGTCCAGCTGCAAAGAAAAGGTAAGCACACCTGTGATATAATGCAGAATATAACAAGAGATGCATGTTAATGATATGCTGGTGTACAAATACATGTGTGACGGGTTTATTTGAATACTACCGTGTGTTAGATGTGGAATTGCTAATAAGAATTACCTCGTATTACACTTTTAACTGAAAACACAACTACATATTAGCATTATCAGCATGTTGTCCAGCTGTAAACACACCTGTGATAAATGCAGAATATAGAGATGCATGTTTAATGATATGCTGAATGATGTCCTTTCTTCTTGCAGAGACGACCGCCCGATAACTCCTTTTATGTAAGAACGTGTAACAAAAATCCAAAGAAGACAAAATGGTGGTATCACGGTGAGTGTTTTTACACCTCACGCACGTTCACACGGTGCTCGTTAAAGATGATTTCATTAACGTGTGTTCCGTTTCCCTCCACAGACGATACATGCTAATGTACAAACTTTGTAATAATCGTAGAAGGAAGAAGTCCGACTGACCTACGTTAAGCACTTTTTAAAATCATTCAGTCTTTGAACTCTGACCTCTGACTGGAACAATGGACACCATGCGCTGGAGGCTCTTTGTCTGCATTACCCCACCCTTCCCCTCCCTCCTCTCTCCCCCCCCCCCCCCCCCCTTCCCCCCCCATGGGATGCATGTTTTAGCCGGTTGTAAAATAGCGGGCGATAATAATGGAACGTTTTAGATGCACCCAAGATGGATGGTTATTTGGCAGGAAGCTGGTGAAGCAGAGGAGTCGTAGCGAGATCATTCTAATTCCTATTTTTTTTTATTATTATTATCGTGACTTTGTGTGTGGTTGCTTTTATTTCATTTTAAAGATCCTTGTGTTGTGCAATAATAATAATAATAATAATAATAATAATATCCGATGGATGCATGCCGGGGGTCTGCAAAGAGAAATCCAAATCGTCTTTTTCCGGAAGGGATCGGACCGTCACGAAAACCCAAGACGACGCTTCATCCGTTTTGATTTTAAATGATACGCAGTGTGCACGTTTCGAGGCACCTTTGGTCGTCCTCTTCTCACAGTTACCGAGGGACACTTATTTATCAGGTTTTAAAAAGGGGGGTGTAGTTTGTAACCCCTGTATCCAGTAAACACCATTTTCTTCATCTTCCAACCTGAGATGTGGTCGCAGCTCTCGGACAAATGTCGGTACGGATGCGAGTTAAACAAATGAGATAATGGCGGACGAGCATCTTGTAAAGTCGTCCAGATTTGAAGGTTTGCAGCGGCCTCTCTTCCATTTAACGAATGTCTGATCCAGTTTTTATTTGTATGATACGGTTGTTTTATTTCATGCTTTAATCTTTTTTAAATGTTGAGTTATTTTAAGCTTGAAAAGGAGAGTTGGGTCAGTAGTTTTTTGTATTTGTTATTTAATTTGTGATCTCCAGAATGGGAACAGAATGAGGAAGAGGAGAGTCTTAAAAGAGGCAAAGAAAACCGGCTCTTTTTGATTCCCCTGGTCAGAGTTTTGGCTCAGGTACTTTTTTCAATAAAAGAGATCGCCTCTAAAAAAATAAATAACCAGATATTTTAACTATATTTTCACCAAAAGAGACTGTTATGTTGCAACCTGACACGTCTGATCTATTGTACATAAACCAGTGGAGGGTTAGCAGAGGATGCATTAGTGACAGGGTGACGACAGGAGGGCTTTATTTCATTGGAAGATAGTCTGCATCTTTTGCTAATTAGTCGTTAAAATAAAAAAAAGTTTTACAGTGGGGGTGCATGCCGTTTCAAACCCTACTTTTTCTTATTGGCATCATGTGACACCTTTTTCCATAACGTTAGACAACTCCTTTCCTCTAAAGAAAGCCACTCAGAGATACTTGAATTTTTCCATCTTGGGTTTGTTTGTGTTTTATTTGGCAGGGTCTGAGTGAGCGTGATGATACTCTGAACTGTAGAGGAGATTCCCACAGCACACCGCTGTCTCCAAAACTATATGGATAACAGAAAGACAACTATTTAACCAATGACTTTCTATTTTATTAGCTTCATTGTTAGGGTCTGCTGAGGAAAGGCTTGATTGCAGTCGTGTTTCGGGGGGGGGGTTTAAACCCCTCCTGTAGGATCAGAAGAGATTTGAAAAACGTTACAACGGTTATTATTTTGTATTTCTTTAGTTTTCTTCTTCCTGCTCAATGTGGTTTGAACTCTTAGCTTGCAGGTTGTTGTGAGTGATCAACACTAATGAGGGTGTGTTTATTTATATTTGACATTTTGTTCTGCGATGTGCAAGCTCCATGTAAAAGGTGCCTGTTCATTTTCATAATCAATAATAAAAGCAAAGATTCACTTTTATTCAACCGTCGTTTGCACAATGCTTGAATACATAATGCTTCTGTTCTTTTCCCTCCCTGCAGCGTCTTACAGCATGTATCCATTTCATGCACGACTTCAACACTGAATGGGTTTAATTAGGATGAAAATTAGGAAATAAATTGTATTGTTTTGGCCAGAAATGGGTCTAAAGGCATCTAACTAGCAGAAAACTGAGACAAATCTACATTTAATCACAGAAATGGTCATAATGTAAGCACACTTTGTTCTATAACACATACAAAACCTCTCATTTTAAGTGTATGATGCACAGGGAACCATGAGGGTTTACACGTTTTAAAAGCATTAAATACCTTTTAATTTCTGTAAGCAAAACATATAAGGAAATAGTAATTATTAGAGTATATTAAGGGTATACCAGATGCATTACCATCCATACAATTTCTTCTACATGGGACAATCTTTATGCATTTTAGTTTCTTAATTGTGTTGTTGGCCAAGCTTGGAAGACATCAATTTAATCTAAATAGCCCCAAAAGGGAAGAGGGCACACTAGCAGAAAACTGCATGTTAAGTCACAGAAACGGTCAAATTATGAAATATATCACTCAATAGTTGCACTTTAAAACACATTTTAAGTATGTGATGAAGTCCATGTGAGATTACATCTGGCAAAAAATGTTTTCTATAAGCTTAACATAAAAAAATGGTTTTCGAAAATACTCATTATTTTAGTTTAGATGCACAGGATTAACGTATCACCCTGCTCTTTAATAGTTCTTTAACATGGGTCAATCTTTATGTATTTGTTTTCTTAACTGTGTTGTTGGCCAAGCTTAAAAAGAGACGTTTTTTTAATTGTAATGAACATTTAGTTTTTTAAATGGTAAAAAAAATCTCACCACAATAACAACAGTGGGCTAGTGGCGCCATCTAGTGGTTATTTCACAACATTACGCCTGTCAGATCTGATGAGACATAATTACATTTCTTACATTTATTTCACTCAAATTCTCCCTTAGCTAATGCCTTTTGTACTTTTATACAGCTAGTACTTATTTATTATTGTTGCTTTTACTTATTTTATTATCTAAAATACACATTCAAAGACACTGATATATTGTATAGTACCTGAGTAGTCTACTATCACAATCTAGATATAACATGCTTTAATTAAAGTTGATTAAGAACAATTCCTATGAATAAAATAACCTATTCTTTTTAGATTTTATTTACATTTTCGCCCTTACTTAAAAAAGCCCTTTAAGGCTAAGTGAAATAATTAGTAAAAACATATATAATTGTTTGTTATTTAAATATGTAATATATACAGTATAAATATAGTTTTAATAATGCATGTATGCACGGTGTTTCAATAAATACTCTTTATTTTTAATTAACTATAATAATAAAACAAGTATTTATTTATGGATTATTTATTTTGAGATATTTCATGATTTTAATAATATTATATTTTTTTATGGTTATTATACATTTATTCTATTTGTTAAAAATAAGATTATATATTTTAAAATAAAATGATTTAATCACTTAAAAAAATATGTATTTGTATTCTGAATAAAAGTTACACAGCTTCAAGCTAACCCGGACTGAACCATTCCCAGCGCCGCGGGGGTGTCCGATTCATTCAGGATTCACGTTAAACCGTAATGAAGGCACGTTAGCAATACACTATGCTTAGCACTAACCACATGGATAAAACACAAACCTAACACATGACATATGTTAAATAACCAGTCATTTAGCTTTAAAGTGGCGAATTTGGAATATTTATCCAGACAAATAAGTTGGTCTGCCCCTCTTCCATCCAGTTCTCTTTAGTGTTTGCCAATGTCGGAGGTGTAACTGGGGTCTGGCCCTGGACAAAGGTAAAAAATACACTCAAATGTTTGTCCCTGTGTTGATTTACAGTCTTTAGGTTATTGTCCACGCTTTTGCCAGTCTGTAAATCCCGTTTTTAGGCCTAAAATCCTGCATACTTTGGTGGAGGATGGGGCGGTATGTGGATGCTAGCAGAGGGGTGCTCGGCCGATCAGCCATGATGAGCGTTAACCGGCTAAACTAGCCTTTCCAGGGGGGGGATTTCGACTCTAAATTCACCGGGAGAAACCCCACTGACATGTCCATGACAGTCTGCATGCTTTCCAATTCTGCTGCTTTGTTTTTAGCAGCTGACATGTGCAGGAAATGTCGTTTTCTCGTTGGTAATGTTAGCTTGTTGCTAAGCTGTAGTGTAGGTCCAGGGGCTGCAGACAGGCTGTGTCAGTGAACACACCACCTCCTTATTCAAGTTACTGTGCGGGACCACCGTGCATTGAATTCACTTTGCCTTGCATGCATGCTGCCGTGAAAGAAAAGCAAGGCAGACTGAGAACAGCATTATGCACGCAGATGCAAACAGACAGCATGCAATGAATTAAGGTCACAGAGCAGAGTAAAAATAGCATTTTAGTTTGTTTTTTATGGGCATGCAACTGCTCTGTTGTTTACACCAGTCCTAGTATGGTGTTCAGGTGTAAACAATGGATATGCATCACTATTATTCCATATTTTCAGAGTGAAGCTCATGAAAACACCTGAAAACTGTCCTTATGTTTGGTTTAACACCTGTTTGCATTCTAACTATTGCCTAAATTAGCACTCACTTTAGGTATTTCAGGTATTGTCCATCACCTGGAGGGTTAGGGTTCAAAGCGAGCATCTCATGAAGTGTGCACTGCAGGCTGTCTTCTCTCCAGGAGAGCAGCTGACCTCTGTGAGGACGTGAAAAGAATTTCCCTCATTTCCTTTCAGTGTCTGCAGCCTCTTATTAATGTGAACCAGGAGTGGAGCTTTCCTGGCGAGATGTTGTGATGTTTCAAGGCTTTTATTGTCATGTTTGTATAGCTACAGTGTAGTTATGCAAATATTAGGTCACAGGCTCCTCCAACAGTGCAACAGATAAAATAGTACAAGTAAATACAATAAAATAGAATAGAATAGAAACAGAATATGATAGAAACTGTACAGAATAGTCTATATACAGTAATTGGAATATTGATAAACAGACTAATGAACTTTGTACCTTTTTTAATCGATTTATTGCATGTTACATTAATAGAAAACACATGGTGGCATATTGTGTTTCTCTTGCAAAGCTCCACCTGTGTTTCGATTCACCAACATATTGCGTGCATGCTCAGAAAGATTAGGAAGTACATGTTGTTGGACCCTCTTCTCAGTGGATGTAATGCCGGCCTTTGTACCTCACTTTGCTCTCAAATCAGAAGTGATTGAACGTCCATTGTCTTGCTCGCAGGATTCTCTTCTTTTCCGGGGAGCTTAGCAGCAGAAACACGAGCAAAGCTCCTTCAGATAAAGCTTCATTGTGCGCTGTGTTCACTGCCAGTGGATCAGAATGTGAGATAGGGCCGAGGGCCGCTCAGTTTGAAGTCCGTTTGCACGCTGAAGTCTTGTCAAAGTGAGCCGCTGGATGTTCTGATGGGGCCCAATAAAGTTCATACACATGCAGGTGGGATGATGCACGATTATAAGTGACATTAGGGCTAAGAAATAATCTAAATATAATTAAAATCACAATATGGGCTAATGGAATATCTGTTGCAGGTTAAATATGGGAAAATATCTATACTGCTGCAGAAGAATACTACAAATCATACTCTTAAATTAATAAAACCTCTTATATTCATTATTTGATTATTAAAATCATTTAGTAATCGCAATATCAGTCAAAAAGAATTGCTATTTGGTGTTTTTTCCAAATCCTGCAGCCCTATTTGACCCTATAAGTGTTATAATAATAATAATAGATTACATTTGATGAAAGCGCCTTTCAAGGGACCCAAGGCCGCTTTACATGGTGAACAAACAAACAAACTAACTAATTAAATAAATAGCAGTATGAGTGGAAACAGGGGGCTTCCACTCGTACTGCTATTTATTTAATTTTACTTTACTTACTCACTCACTGACTGTGATGGGTTAGGGGTCATAGGCCATGGTGAACAGGTGAGGTTTTAATGAAGACTTAAAGATGTCCAGGGAAGCAGATAATCATTTAGTAATCGCAATATCAGTCAAAAATAATTGCCATATGTCATTTTGTGTAGCAGCCCTGTGTGACCCGATACGTGTTATAACAATGCTGCGTGTGTGTCCTCCTGTAGGAATAGAGCATGGCTCAAGTGAAAGTTCAGACCTCAGCAGCCCTGGCTGGTCCTGGCCCCGCCCCCGGAGCCCCCCCCCCGGCCGCGGCCAGCCCCGCAGCGCTCGGTCTGCACCCCGCCCTCAACGGCCCCCCCACCTCCGCCTGCCCCGCTCCTGCAGGCGGATATGGGGACGACCCTGTGTCTGCCACATCGCCAGGTAACTAAACGCTTATTATGGGATGTGGGGAGGAGAAGGACGCTCGAGAGATAATGTTGATATTTACATTTTACATCAATCGAACACCTCAAAAGTGATTAATTGATTTGATTTCTAATAAATAATGAAGTATTAACATCTCTTCAGCGTCTTCTAATGTGAATTTCTTCAAGCGATTATGCATTTTTGACATACATGCTCCCAAGATGAACTCTACTATATAGAAATATCCCATTTCAGCCACATCGCCAGGTAACACACGCTTAATATGTATATAAGTATAGTATATATTGTTGATATTTACATTTTACGTCAATGAAAAACCTCAAACAAGCTTCAAATGTAAAACAATTGGATTAATTGATTTGATTTCTAATAAATAATGGATAATAACATCTCTTCAGCGTCTTCTAATGTGAATTTCTGCAAGCAATTATGCATTTTTTACATAAACGCTCCACAAAATGAACTCTACTATATCATGTAATGTGTCTATCAGATGTCTATCAGTCCATGATGATGGTCCATGCATCCCGTTGTGTTTCTGGTGCCGTTCCTCTGAATGAAACGTGTGTTTTCTTCAGGCCCGCCCCAGGAGAACATGGCAAACCCTAAAGAGAAAACTCCGATGTGTTTGGTGAATGAGTTAGCCCGTTTCAACCGGATCCAACCGCAGTACAAGCTCCTCAACGAGAGAGGCCCCGCACACGCTAAGGTGAGGAAATACAGGACATACTGGTTTGACAAACAAACCAAAGAAATAGCACTTGTTTTATTTGTTTTAATATCAGAACAATTGTATCTATTGTAAAAATTGGAATATAATTTAAAAGGTCTAGGGATTATGTTCAGTGCCATTTATTTCATATCTATTGGTTCCCTTGACGTTGTTTGAGACTTTTCATAAATGATTATTGTTCATGCTCCTACCATGTGTCTCCAGAGGGATTGTGGGTAATGTAGTTTCCTGTGTGTCCCCTGCAGATCTTCACGGTGCAGCTGACTCTGGGGGATCAGCTGTGGGAGGCGGAGGGAACGAGCATCAAGAAGTCTCAGCACTCCACAGCTGCGAAAGCTCTGGAGGAGAGCGTCCTGCCGAGGCCCGCACCCCGCTGCCCCAAAGTGGACATCAACAGCAACCCAGGTACTAAAACACAACTACTACCAGAGGTGGGAAGGAGTGGAGTACAAATACTTTGTTACTGTACTTAAATACATTTTTCTGGTATCAGTACTTTACTCCACTACTTATTTTTCTGACCACTTTTTACTTTGACTTTTTTAACCCAAATACCTGTACTTTCTACTTCTGACATGTTGAACACAAATACCTGTACTTTCTACTTCTGACATGTTGAACACTAATACCTGTACTTTCTACTTCTTACATGTTGAACACTAATACCTTTACTTTCTACTTCTTACATGTTGAACACAAATACCTGTACTTTCTACTTCTTACATGTTGAACACAAATACCTGTACTTTCTACTTCTTACATTTTGAACACAAATACCTGTACTTTCTACTTCTTACATGTTGAACACAAATACCTGTACTTTCTACTTCTTACATGTTGAACACAAATACCTGTACTTTCTACTTCTTACATGTTGAACACAAATACCTGTACTTTCTACTTCTTACATGTTGAACACAAATACCTGTACTTTCTACTTCTTACATGTTGAACACAAATACCTGTACTTTCTACTTCTTACATGTTGAACACAAATACCTGTACTTTCTACTTCTTACATGTTGAACACAAATACCTGTACTTTCTACTTCTCACATTTCCCAAACAGGCTGGTTCCTTTAGTTTGAATGTGTGTTTGGTGGCGTGATCATTATTATTTAGAGTCATTGCGTGCCTATTGATTTGAACACGATCCGTGTATCCATCATTTCCTGGTCTTCTCTAAAGAAGAGGGACCAATGAAAACGTTGTCATGTTGCCGTTGTTCAGCATGGAAACATTCATTAGCTAACAATGACATTATTGTTCTATTAATATAAAGGGAGGTCAGGTACTCTTTAAAACAGCTGCTAGTTATGGGTACTTTTTACTGAAGTACATTTCAAAGCCTCTTTACTTTTACTTGAGTAAAGAAGTTTAGTCAGTACTTCTACTTTCACCAGAGTATTTTTAAACACGAGTATCTGTACTTCTACTTGAGGAAAGGATTTGTGTACTTTTGCAATCTCTGACTACAGCTAATTAAAATCACTAAAAATACATCTGTGAAGGGTTTCTTTTAAAACTACTGTGTGTTAGACCTGGAATTGCTAATGTTATACAAAATGGTATTTAAAATGAGTAAGAATACATTATTTAATAATAATAATAATATATTTTATTTATAGAGCGCTTTTCTAGAAACTCAAAGACACTTTACAGAGTAAAAATTCATAAAAACATCATTAAAACAACACACTTATACATAATTTAACCTCATATAACATTTGTTAGCCTTTCAACTGGAACCACAACCACTAAGTCTGCTTTTAGAGGGCTTCCTGTGTGGAGGAACATGGGCCTATTCTGTGGGAAAAGGGTATAACTCTCACTATAACATGTCAAAAGCTGTTCCCTGAAGGTTGCATTAGTGCCCTCTACTGTTTGTTTTCTGGAGCTTAAGTGTCTGGAGGTTAAAGGATGTGTAAAAGTGTGTATAGGGAGAAGTGGAGGCCTCATACATCTCTTCAGAAAGCAGCTTTTACACGTAACGACTCTTGAAAGTGTAATCACAGAGAAGGCTAAGGATACAGTTGTAAGAAAAGTGGTAAATGACGTTCTGTCTCCATTAATAATGAAGTGTTTCAGATGCTCTCCTGCAGGAGTTTGGCTTCTAGGTGAAGCTCTAAAGCCACGCGGTATTTTTTAAATAACCCATTTGTAGGCTACAGACATTCTCATATTAAAACATGGAGATATGGAGCTTCAGAGAGTATTGTTTCTTGCAGTTTTAAGATTTCATCTGCAGATATTAGATAGACACTTTTCATACATTCTTTGTCAATGGTTGGCTTTTAATGTTTTTCGTGGCGTCCTTCCTTGTTTTTCTATCAAGCCACTAGACGCCTTAAACAGACATTTTTTAACTTATTTTCTTTCCTACTTACAGTTGAAGAGTTGCTTGGCCTCCGATGGTTTAGATCAGGGATGTCAAACTCGAATACACAGTGGGCCAACATTTAAAAATGGGCACTAGTCGAGGGCCGGACTGGTTCAATGTTTATTGCAAAACTTATTGAAATGAACTTATTGCACATATTAAACCTGGAACTAACAAAGCTTAAATGATTGCCTATAAAAACAACATTAAACATTAAATAATCAGTTGCATTCATTTCTTATGGCGCTATCTGCAAAGTCATTTCTTATGATTACATTTTTCCAAAGGCCAACAACAGCATTTCCCTCAAAGAAAAACCCAAACATGCCCTGTTGTCGTGAGAGAGAAAATGCAGAAGGAAACATCCATGTAAACTCAGTGTGCTGCTCTGTGATGCTAGCTCAGATACTTGGCATCTCATCTTGGGTGCACGTTCATCAATGTTTGGGGTCAGGCTCTGAGCTGAGGAGACCCTCAGGATGGAGTGAAGGTGTGCGTGCAATATACCGGCGGGCCAGATCTAATAGTAATTAAAAATTATCCTTCGGGCCGAAATTAAATCCACAAAGGGCCTGATTTGGCCCCCGGACCATGAGTTTGACACATGTGGTGTAGATGATGTTATGCGATGTGTTTGCTCAAAATAAAATAACAAACTTTTACACATGCAACAAAGAAAAGAGGCCTTAACAATATTCAAAACAAATAGGCACAACTCAAATAAAATAACAAACAACGTAGGTATTCCTTCTTTCTTGATAAGGCTTATATAACTTGATAACTTAAAGGGTAATTGGACGGTTAAAAACTGTTCCTCGACGGCGTCTTTCCACCCATCACTGTCCCTTTAGCGCAGGCGCCGTGGGAATTTTATAGTGTGTTGACTACAGACGTCACAATTAAGTGGCTTTTCTTATATAAAAACCAAATACTGGCTCTAACAATGTGTACATATTCTGATGCCTCTGTTTGACTGTCTTTAGGCAGTATAACACCCACAGTGGAGCTGAACGGTCTGGCCATGAAGAGAGGGGAGCCGGCCATCTACCGCCCTCTGGACCCTAAACCCATGCCCAACTACAGAGCCAACTACAACTTCAGAGGCATGTTCAACCAAAGGTGAGACACGTATAGCGACAGCGGGAAACAAACAAAGTCTCTGAGAGGCTGAGGCCGGGCCTGTTTGCTATTTTATGACACGCTATAAAAAATTAGTTGCTTATTAACAATGTAGTTTAATGAAAAATGAGATGATCAACTTATTTAACGTAGACATAGACATTGTAATAATGATCAAAGCAATCCTAAAGCTTGCAGTCAACCAAAAATACAATGACCCTGTGTCACCCTCTCTTACACACACACACGCACACTCGCACTTCTCACGCAGGATTATAATTCCCATTGTGCCGCCCATATCCATGTGACCCAAACCAACCAACCCATTGCGATCAAACAATTATCTTATAATAATACAAGCCATTATCCAAATATAAACTAGTACAAAACTAATTTGTATTAAAACAAAATGCATTACTTTGTACGTTTCATGGCTCCTACAACACACACTCAATCCTGAGCTGAAGGGACACATATTCTCAGGTCGAGATGTCATTAGGAGCTGTGCCAAAGTGACACCAAATCAAGGGTGTTAGGGTTGTTTGTTGAAACTAGACCAGTGTTTCTCAAAGTGTGGTCTGCGGACTACTGGTGGTCCGTGAGCGACCCCTAGAAGTCCGTGAGTATATTGGTAAAATGTCACATTTGAAATAAATAAATGATAAATTCAAAGTGTTTCTCAAATTGTTTAAAAATGACTAGTATAGGTGGCAGTGGAGGTTTGTGTCGTACTACAAGCGGTGTGTTTTTTGCATTTCTCTCAGTAGCCAACGATCTGTGGGTCTGTCGGCTCGGACATAAACTCCGTAATAAATGTAGCATTTTAAATCTCATATGAACGAAATGCTTGTAGAATCCGTAGTTGTATTGTTGATTTAATGTGTGAACGAGGCGATATAGGTCACGTTAAGCTGTCATTATTAGGCTGTCATGTGTTATATAATGTTGGAGTGGTAAGCAGACCTTTTTGTTTTTGGATATTTGGGAAGTAAGGTGTGTATTTTATTGGTTAAGTGGTCCTTGGTATGAAAAGGTTTGAGAGACACTGATCTCGACCCACATTTGTTTCGGTGTTTGGATTCTTGTGCTACTTCCAAACTAATGCTGCAAATCCTATTTACATATACAAAAGGGAAAGAGGATTTACTTACGTTTGAACTACAGCATAATTTGTAGATAATTCGCCTCGTTATTCACCTGAAACTCTGCAGGTTAGACATGTCTTATCTCCTCTTGTCCCTCTTTAAAGGGATAGTTTGTATGTTTTAGAAGTGGGATTATATGAGGTACTTCTCCCCATCAGTGTATTATCTACATCAGTTTTTAGAAACGTAGCATCAGGAAGCTATGTGCTGCTATGGATGAATTGAGTACACGTGGAGCTCATGTTCCAGCAGGATTCTTGGTCTTTTGAGTGTGTTTCTTCATGGCTGAATGCACCTTTTGTAAATCACTTTGGATAGAAGTGTCAGCTTTAATCCAGTGAAGTATTTCAGACCGCTTAAATATCTTCATTAGTGGTACGCTAGGAACATTTGGACAGTTTTACCTCTTAGCCTTTCATAGCCAGTTTCTCTTCATAGCTGCCAGACTCCATTGACTAAAACTCCTTTTATCCTGGAGTTGCAAGTCCACCGGTGCTTCAGTGTGTTTGTGGTAGGGCTGTGCAATTAATCGTATTTTAATCGCAATTACGATTTTGGCCTGCCACAATTACGAAAACAACATAATCGAAAAAAAACAATTATTTAGCTTTGCTAGGTTGTGACATATTTGATCTAATTAATTTTGGTCTCATTTATTTGTATTTATCATATTTATATATGTTTAGTAGCTTGGGGAAGTGCGCTCCTAAATATTTGTTGATCTTGTTTATTGGTATTTATTATTTTGATATTATTTATTTAAATGTATCATTTATTTTATTTATTTTTGTATTGGTTTTTCAGTTGAATTATACGTTCAGGGTAATCAACAGTTAAAAAGATACTGTTAAAATTATTATTTGTATTTGTTTTAAAGTTCAATAAATGGATTTTTTCAAAGTCAATGAATAATCGTATTTAATAATCGTGATATCAATTATTGACCCAAATAATCGTGATTATGATTTTTGCCATAATCGCACAGCCCTAGTTTGTGGTATTGCAAATGTGGATGTTTTGGATTTAGCAACTAAACAATCACTTTGAAATCTAGCCAAATTTGAATAGCTTGTCATCTATATTGTAGTGAAGCGCTGAAACTATAATTTCAACATTAGAGGGTATCTTGTTCAAATTACTTCCAGACAACCCATTTTTAACGAGCGAAATCTCCTCGTTTTGCGCCAGCTTTGTTGCAGCTGAGCGACCTCATATATTAAATAAAATCCACGTTATAAGCGCTTTCATTTTAGCCTGGTTTGCAGACGATGGGTGGCTCAGCGCTCTGAGATTTATGTCCTTCAGAGTGCTGATATATTCTCTCTTTGACCCCGGGGGCTCAGATGTGAGGCAGACATCCATATGTTTCCTGAACTGATGAAGGTGGTGCCCTCATGGGGTCTCTCTCCACACTCAGTCTCTGTCGACTCTCTTTCTTCCATCGTTTTCTTTTGCTTAACTGCAGCCATCCAGCCATTTCCAAAACTCCATAAAAACGCCACCAGGGGCAATTAATGATCCCCCCTCCCTCAGTGAAGGAATGTCCTTTAGGACGCATGAAATCCAGGTGATTCTCTCAGTTAAAGGGGGATTTTTGTATTTAAACGGGACCCATTTTTTTAGTTTCTAAATCTGCTTTTTGAAATTGGTCCAGTAATAAACGGCTGATTAACAAACTGCAGTTTTATCCTTCTATGAAATAGTGCGACGTCAGGTTAAAGGGGTATTTTTGTATTTAAACAGGACCTTATTTTCCCATGTTTTTGTCTCTTAAGGCTAAGTCGGTTTAAAAATGTTTTGAAAGTAGTCCAATAATTGGCAGCTGCTATGTTTATCTTCCGTGTAATAGTGCAACGTCAAAATATACGTCTGTTAAATGTTTAAATGTACCACTGAAACTCTCAGATTGCTATCTGTCTGACAAAAGTATGGAAAGGAGCCTAAAAATAAGACTTACTTTCTCTTGTCTCATCTAACTCAGGAAGTCTCGTTCTGAAATCTCGCTTGGCATCAACAGTGTCGTATTTAACTAAATATATAAGGATGTCATTGCAAATGTTTTAGATGACACCTATCCAATGTGTTTTTGGGTAAACATCAATACAGTAATAAACCAGGAGGGTTGCAAAAAAGAGAAATTAGTACATATTTTTTTGTACTGACTATATATTTAGATTTTATATATATATATATATAAGCAGTTTATAAAGCTTATTACGGAAAGAACCATGGAGAATAAATAAATAAAGCCCATCAATTAGCCCTTTTTTATCCATTGTATTGTTCATACTGTCCTTTTTAAATCAGTCGTTCAGTTTAACCCTGACTACAGAGACACTCATCTGCTTTAAGTAGTCCTTTAAGTAGTCCTTTAAGTAGTCCTTTAAGTAGTCCTTTAAAGTAGTAAAGTGGATTGTGAGCTTGAATAAATATTGACTGTAGTAGTTTATGGTATTATGAATGCTTTAATTATTATGATATCATTTCAAATATAGCATCAAGGTGGCATACAGTGCACACAGTGTTATTTTGCTCCAGAGCACACACTGTTCACGTCTCATAAAGCCACCTCAGTTTGTTTGCATTATTTCCAGGAGATCTCTCGCTGGCCTGCAGGTGGCAGTGTCTCCTCACTTTAAAAACCTGAAAGCGCTTCTTTTCCAAGGTGATTGAGCACCCATTTTGTAACAGGCTAGGTAGGAATGTGGTGATATAATAAAGGTTTTCCTATTAGCTAAGGGTCTCTTCAGAGGAATCTGTAGAATGCTATCTTCCTAAAACACACAGAAAGCCCCGCTAACATGTCTGTCTCTATCACTACCTCAACTGTGGCTCATTAAAGTCCTATAGTAAGGTGTTCTGATGCCAAATGTGTGGGATTTCTTTCTTTAAAAGTGCCAGAGAAAGTGTGTGATTCAGTTGCAGTGTTGGGTAACGCAGTCTAGTCCGCAGACAGCCGAGCATCTGGCTCACATCTTCCACTATGTGATCCATGCAGGAACAAACACGGGCGGAAAAGACTAATGTCTGTCGAGAAAATGTGTTTCCCAGCATCTGTCTGTCAGTGTCACGGGATGCGCTTTTGTTTTTTTATGTTGTAAGGAAGAGGGGTGTGTGTGTGAAGGAGTATATATTATCCCAAGGTCACTTATGTTTTCAGTAGGTCGCCTTCCTTCAGTGTGTGGATTAATGAAAGAGAGACCTTCTGAATATGATTCCTCCTCCTCTGATGAGTGACTGTGAGGCGGAGTGACAGCCTATATCCTCCATCGCTCACCTTAACGATGCTGCGGGGAAGCGAAGGTTTCCATAAGCCCCATGTCCTTCCCTATTATGATGAATAAGAGTGATCCGGAGTCATGTTGATGGAGCATCGGCACATTAAGAGGGCGGCCCGGCTCTGATCCATCAGCTATAATCACCGCCAAGACCAGTATTGATTCATTCAGAAAGTGCCCTGATGAGAAAAGATGGCGATAATATGAAATGAGAATTAATCCGCGTCTTAATGAATCTTATTTATGGCGAAGGGCCTGCAGCATAATTTCTTAACATCCAAGTCCACGTTTAAATCAGCGATCCATCTGTGCTATAGCAGTCATAACCACACAATTGTTCATCCTCACACACTCAACAGAAACACGTTTTCATATCACACTCAACACTCAGGGATCATCTGAGATTATTGTTGTTTTAAGTAATTAAGATACAGTTATACGCCACCTTGATGTCAATTAGACATACAAGAATGAAAGCTTTGTTGCAGAAACCAAACTAAACTCCTTGTGGTTTGTGTTTTATCTGATCAGGATTGTAAGTGTTATCAGTTACTATGAATGGGAATTGATAAAATGA